ATGTTTGGATGTTCTGGAATCGTTTATACAAACGACTAATCCTGAAGAATTGCATAAAAGAAAAATTTATTTCACCACAAATTGAGTAAACCACAAAAAAAAATGTTGCTGATGCAAATATGAATGTTGCAAGTCCTTACGCTGGTTAAAATTTTATCCCAGCGCAAAAAATCGTATAGAAGGGCATATTTGAAGTCATTCGAAAACCACAGCAGCATGTTGCTAATGCGCATAAATATTGCTAAACGTTTTTTTTGCAGGATTTCATATGTTGCAAGCACTTTAATCGAAGATTTACATATATGAATAATTAAACAAAAAAGCAAATGTTAGCAGAGCGCATTTACGCAAAGTTCAAGCAACAAGAGCCAGGAGCCATAGTATCCTGCGCTTATTATAAGCGTTCATTAGTAGTTGTAAGCCTTGTGTGAAATTTGAACAAAATAAGTTCAACGTAGCAACATGTAGCTAATATCGAAAAAGTGTTGCTAGTGCAGGGATGACCAGCCCATAGCGCTTTATAGCCTGCTACCTTATTCGAGAAAACTTCAGTGAGCTCCAGCTGACTGCGATTTAGAATATAATGTTGAATATCTTTGATGTGTGTTATCCTTAAATTTTGAGGTTAGCATTCGGATCACAGCTGTGAAATTTTATTAGCAACACATATTGTTGTGACGCACCAAAAAGTGTAGTATAAAATAAATAAAGAAAAAACAAATTTCTAATCAAAGTGATTTGTGTAGTTCAGGGTAGTCTCTAGTAAATGTTTTGGAGGCTGTTTAAATATATTCTATCTAATTATATTTCTTAGCTTTTCTACAATCTTTTTGGTCAATTACGATGTCTCATTTCATTGTTTGCAATCATATTCGTTGTGCATACCGATGTATACAATCATTAGTTCATTTTGCTTGAGGAGTCACAATGCTGTATGCTGTACCGATTTTTTTTTTTTGAAACTTCGAACACCGACTTTCCAAGGATGGTTATAGGCTAAAACAAAAATCGATATCTAAAGGGGATACAAACCGAATTTTTCATAGTGCATATCTCTGGAAGTATTCACAGTAGAGTACTAGAACTTGGTATGGATATATGTAATATATGAAGTCAATCTCCAACTCATGGAAAAAATTAATTCATTGGAAAAGGCGGCATGGCACTGTAGAATTTGGAATGTAGATATATGAAATCAATCCCAAACCTATGAAAAATTGGGGTATATGAAACCGATCTCGTAGCCATTGAAAAGAGACAGCGGTACCTCCCATATGAACTAAAAATCTGATGACACATAGATATCTCTGGAAGCATTCCAATGGAAATAAGCACAGAAAAACGGAAGTGACTCCTTTAGGAAAGATAAATGTTCACAGGGTGTATCTCTGGAACTATTTTAAGCTAAACCTTGAGGGATTACATTTTTGCCTAGACCCACAGGCATAAGCTGAAATTGCGTCGCATGCGGGCAGCTAGTCAAACTAATAAAAACGAGCCATTCACTTCGGGTGTTTGATAATAAGTCATCATCTGCAATTTTCTTACGCGTGAAATAAGGTTTTACGATCGGCTTCTATAAACTGTCAGTTTTCATACATAATGTTGCCAGCTTGTTGCAAGCTTTTTCACAGCGTGAACAGAATACTACTTTGCTGATGAAATGTTGTGGAATTTCAAACTTCTTTCACAGAAAGAAATTTTATATGCAATTTGGCAGCTTTTTCACGTGAAACAGGATAAGAATACTATGCTTTATTTGTTGTTCAACACCTACAGGGGCGTTTATGTTTGAGCTGGATAACCCTGGCTCAGAATAACTCAGGTCGGTTTTAAGTTGACGCTTGAGTTTTAAAATATCACCGGAAAAATTAGGCCATCTAAAGGTGAAGCAGCATGTTGCTATGAGCTTAGCAACATTGCTGAAAATACTGAGAATGTTTAGGACGGGGTTTTAGTCACTGAAAACATTTAAAAATTTTGGTAGCTCAAACTTCAAACAACATGTTGCTAACGTCGAAAAAGTGCAAAAGCTTTTGAGAGGGATATAAGTTATTGTAGATATAAAATATAAAAAGAAAAGTTTTCAAATTCCCAATTAAAATGTAGGCGCTTGAAAATTAGGCCGCGGCAATGCGGTGGAAGTGCCTGACGAGGCGTTTTAGTTATTTATTTTTAAACAATTTTTGAAAGCCAAAAGCATGCATTTTCAAAACTGTGAGAAATAAACTGTCTTGTTTGAATGGATTAGCCATGACAAACAAACAAGAAAGCGAACAGACAAACAGATGCAAAACAGCTGACTTGTGGCTTGCATACAAATTCAAGCGACGACGCAATACGTACCTACATATGAGTAACACCTCCAACAAAAGCCACAACAAAACGAAAAACAAACCAAAAAAATTTATGTATGTACGGCCAAGTAGTTATGCATAACTCTTTAGCTAAATGCGTGACGGAAAAATGACTACCACAAAATAAAAAAAAGAAGAGGCAAACAACAATCGCAAAAAAGCGGCTACTGTCACACGAAATTTCACTCAGCCGCGCTGAACTTGATTTATATGAGAAAAGCATAAATGTGAATATGAGTGCAAGCCTAAAAAAAAAGTTTAGTCACATAAGAATACAAAAAAAGCATTAAAAAATTCTGCTAGCTCAGCAAAGTATATTCTTTCACCTGGGTCGAAGTAAAATACAAAAAAAAAAAAAAAAATTGGAAATATATAAATAAATACTGCTGCCAAGCAAGCGCGCAAATACACACAAACCACCTTAAGCTGATTTTTAATGCAGCTAGAAGAAAGCAGACAACAAACGGCACAGCGTCGCGCATAGCTCATAGTTATTGCCGTTACCTTACGCTGCAGGCATTAAGATGTGGGAAAAATTTGTAATTCAATGTTTCGCTATATTATTTTTCGATGACTTGAATGGTTGAGTTTGGCTTGCATGTATGTGTGTTTGTTAAGAATGCAAGTGAGTGCGAGTGAGTGATTTGAGTCCCATGCATAGATATACGAGCATTTGCCTTCGAATTGTAATGCAAAACCCGAAATGAAATTTAAGTTTTCAAAAAGGAGCCAAAAAATGTAAGCGCAAATAAAATTAAAAATTACCACTAGAATGCAGTGTGGCCAAAAAAAGCAAAGCAAATTGCGGAAAAAATACTGCATTGCGCTGAACAGCGGTGGAACATCCTATTGCAGGTGCAGCGCTCAAAAAAAAAAAAGCAAGAAGCGCAGTTAGTTTGTAGGAGGAAGCAAGCGCGCAGGCGGTGTGAGGGCCGCGGCATAAAGACATGCATGCGGCGCTGCTTCAGGGCGGCCAGACTGTTGATGAAGTAAATCAAATAGACGGGAAGACTAAGCCAAACCAATCACACTCCAGCAAACAAACCAACTAATAGACCAAACCGCGAGTGGGTGAGTGGGTGATGATTGTGCGCACCGGTGAGCGATTTCTTACCGCACCACCACTTTAGTGCTAAATTCTTGCTTGTGGTCTTCTTGCGCGCCATCGTAGTACAAAGTATACGGTGGAGCGCTGAGGACGAAAAAAATGCACAAACTATTCAAACGAAATAAAAGCAACGCAAGCGCCACTTGAGTTATGGCTGTGTGGCAAACGTTATACGCCCTATTAATGGATTGAAAATTTAGTTTAAGAAAGGGCGAAAAAATGCGCCACAAATAAGCCAAACCAGACAGACAACAAAAGGACAAATAAAATGCACCATAAATAAATAGAAAAATGAAAAAAAAAATACGATTTGAAGTTGGGCGCATGTGGAATGCAAAATAAAACCTATTAAATAACTACACAAAAGGTGTGCCAGTCAGCAGCAATAACAACGGCGTGCAGTGATGATGTTTCAACTGCTGACTGTCTGCCAAAATAAATGCCGCCAGCTTGGGAGTGTTTAGCTTTAGCTGGCTGGCTGGTTGGCTGACTGAGTGACTGGCTAGGCTAATACGACTCGAGAAGGTACGAGTACTTGGTGGTGCGATGGTGCCTTTAGAGCGCATTATAATAATCAAAACTGTTGTAGTTGCATGAAATTAAATTTGAAACTACACACCAGCAAAAAAAAAACGCAGGAAAATGAGCGCAAAAAGTAAAAAATAACAAACAAAAAACGTAAGCAAATAAAGCTATGCCGAGTGCGCGCGCGGTGACACCACCTTCGCGTCGCGCAGGAGATGAGCTATCGCAGCACGGCGCATAGCTTTGGCGCTCGCATCTGACTTTTCAAAGTAACAGAATTTATCAACGGGGCGAAAAAAATTAATAAAAGAAAAAAATCCAACTGCAAAGCGCAACCAACAGTAGCGTAACAAAAACGCATTGCGCACATGAAGCAGCGAGCCAACGAGCGAACGTGCAAAACCAAATTTTAATTAGCTGCGAGCAAATGCATAATGACTACATACAGACCTCAGTATGCATCTACATAAATAAATACATATGTATAAACACAGTATGTCCGTCCGTCAGTTGGCTGAGTGACTGACTGGAGTGCTGACGACGAGGCCACCTAGCAGCTGTAAAGTGAGTGGGACTGCCACTGCCGCTGATGAGACAGCGGAGACGACACCCAGAGTCAGCAGGCAAGCAGTCAGTCAAGCAATCGCTTCTGAATGAATTCACACAAACTATTTTGAAATACAACAAAGAAGCTATAAAAAAAAAACAAAAAAAAAATATATATATATATTTGTTGTATGGCGTGAAAATTTGTTGCTGCTACGCTGTCGTTGCTGTTATTAAATGGGTGGGTGGTGATGGCGCACGAAATATACTCGTAGTTAGTAAGGTAGCGAGTGAGCGCACAGAATTGCGAAGCGTGTGCAGAGGCGTGTATTATTTAAATGGATTCGTGTGGTTATTAAGAAATTAATAGCAAATAGTTTATTTTGTTTATGTAATACAAGTGTACCTACATACGTATTTATGTATGTACATATGTATATTTATATGTAAAATTGGTTACTTACATGCATTGATTGGGCTTGTCGCAATGGCCGTGTTCGCAGCCTTTGGTGCATTCGGCTGTAATGAGAAGAGAGAAAAAGAAGAGCGGGGAATTATTTATGAGTAAAAAATATGTTGCAATATAAACAATTAAATGAGCTTATAAACCTAAAAAAAAATATTCGAGTATCTTAAAAATCTAAAAGTAACTATCTAGGGCCGTTACTCAAGTATGTATGCGGCTTTTAAAATTTTATGTGCAGACTAATTTTATACTACTGAGAAAACGGTATCTACTTAAAGTTACAGACGCATCTCTTAGATACAAAATATTTAAAGTATAGTAGTAATATGAGCAACCATACTCCTTTCGGAAGTACAGTACTTCTTTTTTAGCTCTTGTACTTCGTACATCGTAGTACAGTCAAATATACTTATTTGCAATATTTTGTACTTCAGGTCCTGTACTTTTCCGATCTTCTGGACGATCGCCACATGGCCTCGGCGATAAATTCGTTCAAACCCTTCATACCCTTCAAGTCAAAAGTGCGCAGCTGCAAAGGGCTCTGGAGGTGTCCTGCAATTGGTTGGCTCCTATTTGTTCGAACTGCGTAAGGACCGGGTACATCCCCAAGGCTTGGAGGGTAGTCAATGTTGCGGTCATGCCGAAGGCCCGAAAAGCCTTTTTATATTTCCCCTAGGTATTTCAGGCCTATGAGTCTGCCTTCGTTTTTGCTATAAACGCTCGAAAGACTGATAGACCTGTACATAAGAAACACCATTCCTCGTGACTGTCTTTCAAGAGCTCAACATGCTTATTGCAAGGAAAGGTAGGTGGACCGCGGTAAAGTGGTTAGAGGAAGCCTTCTCGCATAAAGATATCGATATCGAGGGGGCCTTCAACAATGTCACTCCAGAGGCAATAGTCCTGTCTATTGACAATCTGGGAGTTGAAACCAACCTAACAAGGCTTATCTACAGCTTACTTCGTGACAGTCGTAGCGAAGTGTGGGAGCGCCTGCACTCAGCGCAGAGTCAAAAGGGGAACTCCGCAAGGTAGTGTTCTCTCTCCCCTATCCTGGATTGCCGTTGTAAACGAATTCTAGAGGAACTGGAAAAGTGGGATGTCGGGGTGATCGCCTATGTAGATGATGTGAAACTTTTGATTGAGGAACAATTTCTAGACACCCTTTTTGATCTGCCTCAGATTACCTGAATCAGGTAACTAGGTGGACGATCAACAGCCGCCTCGAAGTAAATCCCAGCTAGACATAGCTGGTATTGTTTACCAGGAAGGACAAGATATCCGAGTGGGGGTTTTCTCTAATCAGACAGGGTCAAGTACTTATCCTTGATCCTGGGTAGGAAGCTGTCGTGAAAGCCTAACATTGAGGAAAGGGTAAGAAAGCCGTCGGTTGCCTTGTACTGCTGTAGGGGAGCTATCGGTAAAATGTGAAGCCTCTCGCCCAAACTACTTTATTAGCTGTATGAAGCCAGATTTAAGCCTATCTTGTTTCACGGAGCCCCTGTCTGGTAGGGTACTCACTAGACAAGGCTACACTTGTAAAACAACTGGAGCGTTTACAGCGGAATATTTCCATTTTAAAGAATCTCAAAAGCAATAATGGCACAACTCCAATATGAGAAATACTAAATCCTCATATGTCCTTCCTAGATATTATGCATTTGTTTACCTACATATATTCTCAAGATACAACTGCTCACCCAGACTTTTTAATTATTAAAGTCTTCACAAAACTCAAATAGCATAATTATCAACAAAAAATATTTACCAATGATTTTCATTGCAAACTTCCACCATTTGTCTCGCTTAAAAGCGTCGCTAGCACTTCATTCGCAGCAGTAAAAAATGTTTTTTTTAATTCTTTTTTTTTTCAAAATGTCAAGCAAACATACTGCATCGCTCGTAAAACTTCTGCCCCAGCCAAGTCGGCGCTTGAATAATATGCAATTTTTTCCTGCTATAAAATGTTTCCATATTATTTTTTTTTAATTTTCTCTTCAACATCTTCAGACATTTATAACAAAAAAAAAAAAATCGCGCGCCCCAGCTAACACTAAAGAAATTCCACATTAGTTGCTGTCTGCAGTTTTATGCCTTTTCCGTTGAAAAAACAGCAGACAAATTTTATATCAGCCAGCTAATAACAAGCAACAACAACAGCGGTACATAACATCAAAGCAACGATTTTTCAAATAAAATGCATTTTTGTTTTTGTTGCGACCAACTCAACTCCACAAAATCAACAAAGCAACAACATAAAAAAACAACAAACAAGCCAATAGAATACGCACATAAAAATATTACGACAAATGTTACAGCAACAACGAACGACGTTGGTCGGGGTGGCGCGTTGGTGTTGGCGTTGACGCGCAACTTTGGAAAATAGAAAGTTGAATGCCAAAGAAGCGAAAAGTCAGAGCGAAGGCAAGTACCCCCCATCAAATGAAAATGCGAAGGTGTAGGTCGCCGTCGTCGTCGTCGTCGTCGTCGTCATCGGCGATTGGTGGAGATGTTGCAATTATTGTTGCCGGGTGTTTTTATTGCCATCGCAATGTAAGCAGTTGTCCATGAGCAACAGTGCGCGAAGCGCGGGTGTGAGCTGCAGCAAATGAAATGACATATATGTACATAGTCGGCGCAATATGATGAGCGCGCGCGCGCGCGCACCTTAAAAGCTTAACAACTCTCATATAACTTCCTTAGCGCACTACCACTACCAACGCTGCTAGTTTAACAACTTTTTAGTTTTAATTGTATGCAACGCAGCAGCAGCATTCGAAACATTCGAAATTGGCAGATACATCATCAATACAACTTGTCCGACTGTGCTGTGCTGTGCTGTGCCGCCCGCCGCCATGTCGCGGATGTGCATCTGCAGGTGTTTGATTTTTATTTCTGTTTTACGATGGGTTTTTTCAACAACTTTTAGTTAGTTACATATATGTACAGACTTGAGTGTGTATGACACATGTACGACTGTATGTATGAATGTGTGCATCATGTACAATTTGCATGTTTGTTTGCTTTTCTCATACCCATTAGAGTTTGTCTTACGTGTGTTTTATTTGATTTCCTGTGGCGATCTCGGATTTTCATATCTCACAGATAATTTTACGTTTTTTAATTAATTTCATATTTTTCATTCATTTTGTTTTTGCATGTTTTTATTTTTATTTTTTTATTTATTGTAGACGTGCTTTCGCTAAGATTTATTGCCTTTAACTGTGATGAGATACTTTTATATCTAGGAAATGAATTTAGAAATTAAATGTTTATAGACAAAGCAAGTTGTCCTCATTGTTTGAACGTTTGTGTTTAGCTGTTTTGAGTTGTAGATACTTACTTTTGTAATTTATAGATACTTTTGTATATCGTTTTGCTGTTACATCGTTAAATTAAATACACTGCATGGGCATTTGCATGGCTGTTTGCTTTTAGCGCATATGTGTTGTTATTTACCGTGTCGGACGGTTTGGAGATACTTTTGTAACTAGCAAATATTTACATAAATATCAGAATCTATATATATATATAGAGACAAAAAATTGTCATCTGTAACGAATTATTTCTTCGTTGTCTGCGTTCAGTCACAGATACTTTTGTATCTCATAGATACATTTATACCACTAAGCTAATTTTGTTTTTGCAAAACGGATTTCGATGATTTTTAAACGTAATTCTAGAAACTATTTTTATAGTGAGAAATTGAGTTATTGTCAATGCTCAACGCTTCTGCTGGCTATTTGCAGCGCAGATACTTTTGTAACTCTGAGATACTTATAAGGGTATCTCAAGATGATTTGATTCCTTCATCACTGAGTTTTAGCGTAACAGCCAATTTTAAGCCATAATCCATGTCTGACCTCGAACAGATCCTTTTTTTTTATATGGACGAAAACTTAAAAAATTATTTTTTAGTGACAAATTTAGTTTGACCATTTCTCCGGCCATTTTGAGTCGCAGATACTTTTGTATATACAAGATGCTTTTATACTTCATAGTCATTTTCCGCTGAATTAAATCATTTCACACGTGTTAGTACGTTTGCTGAGTTTGAGAGTATCTATTGTATCACAGCTTTATATTAGCTAAAATGTTTCGATTTTTGGAATTCCAGTTATTTTAAGCAATGTTTGTTTTTTTTTATTGGTTAAAATCAGAAACCAAAATAACTACAACTCGCACACATATTCTCACACCTCACTCAACCGCTTCAAAGGAATTTCTTTCAGCGCTTGGCAACTTCCTCTTCAATGCTAAAAAATCAATGATGTGCTAAAGCAAGAAGTTAGCTAGCTGGCTAGCTAAAAACCCTAACAACAACAATCGATACCAACACTGATCATTGCTGGCAAAAAGGAAACACAGAAAATGAAATAATCTCATGGTCAAAATAAAACGCGATTCCCAAGCCTTTGAGACAGTAAGTGAAACAGACAGTCAGTTAGTAAGCCGCTCGGTGAGCCGGCTGGATTGTTGGAGAGCCAGTCACTGAAAAGCAACCAACTTTGGCGTAGTATAAAAATACCTACATATATAGATATTACTGAACGATTTGAATTTTTAAGTATGTACATTAGGGCGAGAATATTTAGTTCGGAGCAAAATTTTCGAAGAAAGAGTATAGCAAATTCAAATTCTACGATTTATTGTAAGCAAAAATGGCGAAAAAACTGTATGCCAAAATGACGTTTGATCCCTCCCAATTTTCAAAAGAAAAAGCAGTATATTGTATGAAGAAAACCCAAAATTTTGTTAATGAAAAATTAATTTTGTTCAGAAAAAATTATAATACACTGTTTTTTCTATTAAAAATTGGGAAGGTCAAACATAATCTTTGGTTTATAGTTTGTTCACCATTTTTGCTTAGAATCGAACGTAGAATTCGAATATGCCATACACTTTTTTTCGAAATTAAATTACTCGGCCCTAATGTACATAAATTTGTATGTGAGTCCGCTGCCTATCTTGCAAGCAACAGAAGCATTAACAGAAATATGTGGCCAACATGTTTTAGCAAGCAGCGTTGAACTAGAAGAGGGCAAACCGCGCG